TAGTCTGAGAGCTGACCTTGCCTGTGAAGACTGAGGTGAAAAAGGCATCAAGTACTTCAGCCTTTTCCAAATCATCTGTCACTAGGTTGCCTCCCCCATTTAATAAAGGATCCACACTTTCCCTGATCTTCTTCTAGGTGGTGACATACTCATAGAAACCCTTCTTGTTACCCTTCATATCCCTTGCTATCTACAACTGCAGTTATGGTTTGGCCTTCCTGATTTCATCCTTGCATGCCTAAGCAATGCTTTTATACTCCTCCCTAGTTTTGTCCCAGTTTCAACTTCTTGTAAGGTTCCTTTTTGTGTTTTATCTCACTGAAGAGTTCCATGGTTAGGCCAAGCTGGGCTTCTCCTGTACTTCCGAGTCTTCCTGCGCATCTGGATGGTTCATTCCTCCATCTTCACTAAGGTTTCTTTAAAGTACAGCCAGTTCTCCAGGACTCCTCTCCTCAGACTAGCTTTCCCTGAGATCCTGCCAATCAATTCCCTGAGGGAGTCAAAGTCTGCTTTTCTGAAGTCCAGGGTTCATACTCTACTGGTCCCCTTCCTTCATTTCCTGAGAATCCAGAACTCAATCATTTCATCGATGCTGCTGCCCAAGTTGTTATTCACTACTACATTTTCTTCCAAATCTTCCCTGTTTGTGATCAGGGAAGAGGGTCAAGTGCAGGGCCAAGTAGCATGGCCCCTAGTTAGCCTCTCCAACAGTTGCAGTCTCCAAAAACTTCCTGGATTGCCTATGCATTACTGTATTGCTCTCCCAGCAGATGTCAGGGTGACTGAAGTCCCCCATGAGAACCAGGGCTTATGATTGAGACACTTACATTAGCTGTTTGAAGAAAGCCTCATCTTCTCATTCTCCTGGTCTGGTGGTCTATAGCAGACACCAACTACAACATCACCCTTGTTGCTCTTCCCTCTGACCCTAACTCAAAGACTTTCAACAGGCCTATCTCAAGTTTCATACTGGAGCTCTGAGTAATCATATAGCTCTTTTACAAAAAAAGCAACTCCTCTTCCTCTTATCCCCTTCCTGCCCTTCCTGAACAGTTTATACCCATCCATGTCAGTGCTCCAGTCATATGAGCTATCCCACCAACTCTGTTATTCCAATTATGTCATAGTTCCGTGACTGTGCACTTCCCATTCCTCCTGCTTGTTTCCTAGGCTCCATGCATTCATATACAGACACCTGAGGTAACTAGTTGATTGCCCTGCTTATGCAGGAAGAAAGAGAAGGCCTTCCCTGTTGCCTCCTTCTGCTTGCCTAACCTTCAGGTCAGCCACTTCCCCACTTGCCCCAGGGCTCTGTTCACATCTTGAAGTGAAGTGCCCCAAACTGGACTCAGAACTCCAGGCGAGCCCTCACCAATGCTAAAGACAGTAGAGGAGTTGCTTCTCATGATTTGCTAGTGGCCATACTGTCCTGATATTTTGTTGCCTTTTTTTGCAACGGTATCATACTGTTGACTCAGATTCAGCATGCAGTCTACTGTTAACTCCCAGGTCCTTCTCTGCAGTACTGGAGCCAAGCCAGTTGTTCCCCAATGTGTAGTTTCCCATTTGACTGATCTATCCTTAATTGTCATATCTGAGTTCTTTTATAGACATTTTGGTAACCTTAGACCCACCAGACAGTGTAGAAAGATTAAACAACTGAAAAGTAAAAGATTAAACAATTTGGAAGTAAATCCTGATGTCCACACTGCAGCTCCAGAAGAGTGCAAACAAAATTGGCCTGTGGGTGCATCTTTGACACTATACCTGAGATGCAAGGCATGGGATGTGACGTTGTCTGTCTGAACTTTGGGTCGCATGCTCTTGGGCAGCTGTCTAAGAAGCAAGAGAAACTTTCATAGTTAGCTTACTCGTTCCAGAAGGCTCCAAAGTCCAGGCCAGATATGAACACATAGGGCGTGTCCCTACAAATGGAACTGTGCACTTCCCTGGGGATAACATCTCTGCACGTACACTCTGGTGGGTGGCAAGTTGCCCTGGATGGGGTAGGGGAGACGGGGGCCAGCACCTGGCTTGGCCCCAGCAACCTTAACAGCAGTGGCAGTCTGGGTGTGTGGAGCTTGGCTGGCAGCTGGAGCATAGCTATAGCCAGCCAGCCTCTGATTTTTGGTGGATCATGCTGCTGTCACATGTGCCACCCTGCTTTTTTCTGGTGCGTTCTTTTGTTGTTGACACCAGGTCAAAAAAAGCTGCTGCACTGCAAATTAGTAGTGCGGTAAATGCCTGCATGTGCAGTGTGTGTAGTTTGTGGCACCTCAAACTGCACATGTGCACTTTTTTGGATGTGCCCATAGAGTCAGCCTGCACTTCGGATATATATTATACTAATGATCAACATTTGACAGTTTAACCAGATTTAAAAAGATATTGGACAAATTCTTGGAGGAAAGGGGCATCAGTAGCTATTGGGCATGGGAATTAAAGGTACAGCTTCTGAATCAGAATTTCCTAGACCAGTGGTTCCCAGAGTCTGACTGATGTGCACCACCAATTTAAAACAATACAACCTTAAATACCACTAGATGGGGTGTTGGGGTATGTGTGGGTGGGTGTGTATGGTGAAGGTGTGTGGGGGATTTGTGAGGGGGTGTGGCTGTGTGTGGGGGGGAGCATAGGGTATGTTGGGGGG